TCTAATCCTTCACCAACTAGGACAGATTCAAGACCAAATAATGACAGATGTTGCAAATTTTCTGTGTATGGTGTATAAAGTCTCCATATTGAAGTGAATTGTTCAGGAAATATTAGGTTGGGTTGGGTGCAGTTTGCAAACAGGTGACAATGCAAAATATGGCAGCAGTTGCAGTTATTCAGAGAGGCCACAGGATCGCAGCCATGTGAACAAGTCGCACTGGTGAATGGGAAGCATTTTATGAGGTTGCGCTTGGAATATTTAACATGAATTACTGGAAATATATGGGTGTACCTTGTATTGCAAGTGTCCTGGGAATAAGCTACACATCCCTTGCCTGTCTCAATGGAGAAGACTTCGTGAAAAGAATGTTTCTGGTAATTTCACTTAATGTGTCTTTTTTATTTATTTCGTAGGTTTCTGTAATTAATACCGTGGATACATCCCATGAGGATATGATTGTAAGTGGGTCAGCTATTCTTAATACAGTTGAACTCTCAAAGGACTGCAAATTGCTTAATTGCTACTGTCCAAAACATTGAGATTAACTTTATGCAGAATCTAGTTCAGTGTCAATACTAACGTTTCCAGTAAGTTGTATGTTTGTGCAGCTGCTTGAATCTGAGTATGTGATAGGTAAGGTGCAGGAGAACTCAATAATAGGAAATTCCCTAATAGTTCTGACCTTACAGTGGTGAGCAAAGTCCTCAGCAGTAACATGTTCATGGATATGTATGTGAGGTTCAAAATGACCTGTGTTCAAATACTGTCCAGTATAATCTGGGAATTTTTAAAGGAACTGTGGATAGGAAGCTTTAGACTATATCTTGTGTAAGCGTATTTAAAGGAATAGTGTGGAGGGAGCTTTACTCCATCCAATCTATCCTCTTCCCACCCTAATAGCCATGCCTCAGGTAAATCAAAATAGAAAGTTGTTCCAATTTTATCAGGTTACTGAGGCCTGGGAGATCACAAAAATCCCTTAACATAGGAACAGAACAAAAGTGAATGAAATTACCATGAAATAAAATGTGCCACCAGTAATAAATAGATGTCTTCGAATGAGTCATGAGGCTGCAATCTAATCAGGTTTCAGATTGCTACAAACGTCTTGAGCTTTATTTGCTTGTTCTGATGAAAAACGAAAGTGCTGGAGTTCAGTTTGCTACGTTGCACCTTGCACCCATCACCACAGCAGAGGTGTGTGAGTGACTAGAACAGCATACTCTAAAGTGATTCACTTTGATTGAAAATCAGATGTAAGGCATGGGAGTTTTTTTTTCAATTTAGCTAATTTGTTGCTGTCTAAACGGAAAATTCGAGGGAAATTGACTAGTCTTCGAAAGTTGATCTCATTTGCCAGGTAAAGCCCTTGAAGTGGGTTAGTGGATGATAACTGGATTTCTGGAAGGGATTGGGTTAATGTATTTTTTGTACATTAGCTATAAAATTGTAGCTTAATGAACTGATCATTGTTCAATTTGAATTGGCCATGTTAGCACCCCTGCCATTAAACCTTCAGGAAAGCTGGCCCAAAAGGTGAGAAAAAAGGGAGCCTATGGGATTCAAGGCAAGTGGCAAACTGGATCCAAAATTGGTTTGCAAATCGGAGGCAAAGGATGATGGTGGAGGTTTGTTTTTGTGATTGGAAGCCTGGGACTAATGGTGTACCATAGGCATCGGTGCTAGAACCGTTGCTGTTTGTGTGTACATTTATGACTTGGATGTGAATGTAGAAGGTTTGGTTAGTAATTTTTCCAGATGACACGAATATTAGTGGTATTATTGACAGTGAGGGGGCTGGTCTCAGGCAACAGCATGATATTGATCAGCTTGTAAATTGGGCAAAGTGACAGCAGATGGAATTTAATCCTGATAAGTGTGAGGTGATACATTTTGGGAGGTCTAATAAGGGAAGGATTTACACAATGAATGGTAGGTCCCTAGGGAGTACTGCACAATAAAGGGACCTTAGTGTACAAGTCCGTAGATCCCTGAAGGTGTCAGTGCAGGTAGACAGGGTGGTGAGGAAGGCATACGGGATGCTTGCTTTCATTAGCTAGGTCGTAGAGTAGAGGAGCAGGGAAGTCTTTGGTTAGGCCACGGATGAAATACAGTATGCAGTTCTGGTTGTCACACTATTGGAAGGATGAGATTGCATTGGAGAGGGTGCAGAGTAGATTCACCAGAATGTTGCCTGAGATGAAAAGTCTCAGTTATGAGGAGAGATTAGATGGGTTGGGTTTGTTTTCCTTGGAGCGGAGGAGACTGGGGGACCACGGGACCTGATTGAGGCATACAAAACGGAAAAGGACAGACAGTGTAGATCCTGAGAATCCTTTCCCTGTGGCAGATGTATCTAAGACCAGAGGGGATAAGTTTAAGGTGAGGTGTAGGCAGTTTCACCGGGATCTGAGAAAAAGAATTTCATCCAGAGGGTGGTAGACGTGTGGAAGATGCCGCCTGAGAGGCACGTATGCTTGCAACATTTAACAAGCATCTAGATGAGTACTTAAAATGCCAGGGCAAGTAGGCTATGGACCAAGTGCGGATAAATGGAATTAGTGTAGTTTAGTGTTTGTTGGATGGTATAGACATGGTGGGCTGAAGAGCCTGTTTTTATGCTGCATGATTCTTATCTGTTCAGGTGCTTTGAGATGTAGTTTACTCTAAACGTTCGTTAAAACCTCATGGGTAGTGCCTGTCACTTGCCATGCCCATCCCCACCCCCTTCCCAGCCATAAGCATTCCTGGTGCGGCAGCTGATGTGTGGCGTTGTGACTGTACAGTGGTTCGTATATTGTGTTGTGGCTGCAGTAACCCTGGTTCGAATCCCAGTTTATGGCAGTTTTTAAAAGACATAGTTGTTTCCATTCCTGTGTGTGCCTCAGTTGAGACAGTGTTGGACTGAAAGTCTGTATTGACACTGTTGCTAGACTAGCAATCCAGATGTTCAGGCCATTGTTCTAGTGACATGGGTTTGAATCCCATCACAGCAGGTTGTGAAATCTGAATTCAGTAAAAGTCTGGAATAAAAATATAGCCAAATGGCGACCACTGCTGATTAAATCTTAATTAAAGCTTACCTGTTCATTAATGTCTTTCAGAAAAGGAAATCTGCCATCCTTACCTGGTCTGGCCTACATTTGACTATACTGTGATCTGGTTGATTCTTAATTGCCCCCTAAGGGGACCCTAACAGGCCCTTCAGTTCAAAGGCAATTAGGTATCGGCAATAAATACTTGAGCAGTCAGCAACACCCCCATCCCTGTAAAGAATAATTTTTAAAAAACCCTTTGAAATGTGTGGAAAGGAGTCTTCTTTCATGCGTCTAGTACTAATGTGAATTCATGACTTACTGTTAACAATTCTACAGCTGGAAAAGACAGATAACTTTTCAAGCCCTGTTTGCACTTTTCTGTGAGAGCTTTGTTTCAGTTTCTATGCTTCAAGAAATAAGCCGTCTGATTTCCAAGTCTTATCGGAACCTGTATCTCCTCATCCTAGTATCATCACACACTGGTAATAAATGTTAGAACTTAAAATTATTGCTGATTGTCATTTTCCTGTGAAATTTACTTTGGCTGAAGGCTATATAATGAAAATCTTCGGTTTCTCCCTTCTTATCACTGGACAGTGCTGGCAAAATTGTACTTTTGTTCATTTTATGTTGCTTCATTCTTATTGTGACATACAAAACGAGGCATTTTGTTACAAGAGTTTTTTCTTAAAAAGCATTTTTTGATTTGTCTTGCCTGGAGGGGTACAGCCTGTGCCAGGAAATTGGTCCACAGACAATGGTTTTTTGTTTTTAGTCCCAAATAAACATTCTCTGTCTGTGAACCTAATCAGATCAGATCTCACCCGGTACCCATACTGAAGCACTTAGTGGAAATGTCACTGGGGTGACTACCAGGTGCTGGCTACTGTTTTGTTCCCATTTTTCCACCCTTTTCTTCATTTATTGGTAATCTTTCGTGCTGGACAGCAGTAAGAACTGAGAAGAAACAGTCTTTGAGCTAAAGATGAGCACACTTGTTTTCACAAAGTAAAGCTTTTTTGCTGAAATCATGTTTTACTGTTAGAAAATCATTACCTGATGAAGGAGAGCCAGCCTGGCCGACTGAAAGGGAAATTCTTTTGACAAGTCTTCTGGAGTTTTAAGAGACTGTTTCTGGCAGGGTGGTTAAAGGGAAACCAGTGAACATAGCATACTTGAATTTTTCAAAGGCATTCAGTATGAGGCTGTACAAAGCTTTTTCTGTGAGATAAGAGCTTATTGGGTTGGAGGTAATGTGTATTATTATGGATAGAAATTTGACTAAATGGCAGGAAACAAATGGAATAAGCAGTTCATTTTCAGGTTGGCAGGTTTTTATTAATGGAGGGTGGCAAGGGTCAATGCTAAAGCCTCAGCTATTTACAATCTGTATTAATGACTTAGATGAAGTATAATGTGTCCCATTTTGCTGCTGATGTAGAGCTAGGTGGGAAACTCTGAGGAGAATGCTGAGTTTGCAAAGGCGTGCAGAAAAATTAAGTGAGTGGATAAATTGGTTGCAGATGGAGGACAATGTGTGAAGTTATTCAATTTTGTAGGAAAAAGAGAAAAACTGTATGTTCTTTAATTGGTGAGAAACTGTTAAATGTTGGATTTCAGAAGGATTTAGAAAGATAAAACACAGGTGTAGTAAGTAGTTAGCAAAGCTAATGGTATTTTGACCTTTACTGTGAGGGGACTGGAGTACATGAGCAAGGGAGCCTTGCTGCAGAAGTGTAGGGTTTTAATGGGTCCACAACTGGAGTACTAGTGTAATCGTCTGTACCTAAAGAAAGACATATTTGCCTTAAAGAGGAGTATACTTAAGTTTGAGATCAAAAATGATTTTAGGATGCAAGAGCATTTGGAGATGAGGTAAGAAAGTGGAATCAAGTTACAGTCTTATTGTACAAAAGTACAAGTTTGATGGGTCTATTTCTTATGTTCTTCTACAGAGCTGTTGCTGCAGCACAAAGTCCCCGTAGTTTGCATTTTTGATGTCATCGTTTGGTTTTTGTAAATTAAAGATTTGTTTTAATGTTCGTAAAATTCACAGGCCCCCCAGGCTTTGTGGTACAACTGCTTTTCACTGAGTTTGAACTCCATCTACCAAAGTTTTCAATGCGAGGGAGTGGGATGCTTGCTCTTTGAATCCAACAGCAACCAGCCAAAATTGCTGAGGTTAGGTCAGTTGAAAATTTCAGCCGAAATTGCTTGCCCTAAAAGGATAAATGAGCCAAGTTATTTGCAAACCGTCTATGATCTAGTTTAGTGGTGAAACAGTCTGGAGTGGCTAAATGCCTCCTGTATTTACATCCATACGCAAATCCACACCTAAGTGCACATACATGCATTCACACACACGTCAACATAATCACATACGGAGATTCATGCACGCGCACAAATCCATCCACATACACCTACACACCCATGCATCTAACCGCACACATACATACCTATGCTCACACTCACCATTCCCCCATATGTGTGTTCAGGGATGTGTAGATTAGGTGGGTTATTGGGGGATGCGTCTGGGTGGGATGCTCGATTGTCGGTGTGGACTTGTTGGGCCGAAGGCCCTGTTTCCACACTGGGGATTCTATGAATACATACACAGACGTGCAAAGGGACAATAAAGATACTGTATAAGTTCATGTAGTTCTTTAAAATCAACTGGTTCTGACACACCTCTGTGGCAGATATAACTTGAACTTTGATCTTCTAGCCCTGAAATAGTGTCACTACGATTGTGCTACAAGAGCCCTCTCAAGTTGCTACTTTATGAATTGCAAGCATTTTTGATAAATGAGATTACAGCCTGATTGCACCTTTATTCCCAAACTGAGCCACTTTGCTATTATTGGACCTAAGCCTCAATTGATGATTCAGAAATATTCTGGATGTTATACGTTACTACTCTTCTGCAGAATGGTTTCTTATTACTTATACTGAGTTGTCAATTAGTGTCTCATGAAATTGAATTCCCGTGAATATAGGGACATTTATGTCATTGAGTGGTAGGGAGAACTACCCAAGGGCGCTGCGTGCATTAGTGAAGTAGAGACAGGCAGAAAGTAGCTGTAATATGAACATGTGGGTCACGCACTCATTAATGTAAGTGTTTGTGAAGACTGTGATGAGTCTTAGTTAGTGGAAAACCAATGACACCTTCAGGACGTTTGTGTGTATTGTAGCATTCCAGGCCTAGCTCTGTTGCCCCATCCCAATCACATCCACACTCCCAGTCTGAGCCTAGTCTTCTGCTCACATAGTGTGTACATCTTTCCACTCGAAGTTCCTTTAATACAGCCTTTAATTCAGAGCCTTGGGTTTCAACCTCTCCTCATTCTACCATTCCTCTATGCTATGTTGAATACTTAATTCTTCTAAGTTCCCACGACTTTTACAATGCAATGATGTACTAAAATTATATAACACTAAATTTTGGGAGACGAATTTCTGAAAGAACGGTGTGTTGAATACATTTCACATGCAGACTGTCGATCTGGTATCTCAGGGTGAGCACTGCCTTTCTACTCAAACGACTTTCATCATGTAATCCTGATTTTTCTTTTTGAAATGCTAACACAGCACGTCTTTTTTCATTAATTGCCATTCCTTTGAAATCCTCTGTCCCTTGCCACTGATTCTGTGTGTTCATCAGACAGTGCTGGCAGGCAGTCTGTTTCCATCCTTTTCACAATCCCTCTGGTAAATATACCATTGCACACGACTCTCACATCACAAATAAAAAATGTACTGGTCACGTCTTTCTCCAGCAAAATGCTTTGCATCTCCTTCCTGACAGTGATCCCTGGCCTGTCACCTTTTGCTGGAGTGAAGAAAAAGTACTTGTTTCTGAAAAATAATGTATTTACTTTGCAACTTTCACAACTATCAACACTTTGCAGCCAACTATTGAGGCATTGTCACTTTTGTAATGTTGGAAACTTGATTGCCACTTGCAGCACAACCAGCAATGGGATAAATAACCTGATAATTTATTTTAATAATTTTGGTTTGAAGGATAAGCGTTGACCAGGGCGCCCAGAACAACTTCCTCTGCTAATTTGAATGGTGGCATTGAATTTTTACATCCACCTGAGAGGACAGAATTACAGAGAGGAATTAGTAAGAATGACTGCCGACTCTATAAAGTTTGTATTAGGGTGATAACCAAAAGTTAGGTTAGCATGGTGTGTCTTAAAGGGCATCGCAAGGTAGGTAGGGGACAGAGTTCCAGTTCCATTGGACCCAGGAGACGTAGAATAGAGTGAAGAGGTTGGTGCTTGGATACTGAAGATGCAGGAGCCAAAGGAACAGAGATTGTGAGGAGGATGAATGGCTGGAGGAATTAGCATAAAGGAGCGACAACACCATGGAGACCTTTATATGCAAGGCTAGAATTTTAAATTTTAGGCATTAAAGTTTAAGATTCATTGCTGTTGGCAAAGATGGAATGATTGTGAAGTGATGTTTGATATAGGATACAACATGGTTAGCAGAGTTTTTGGTGAAACAATGTTACACGGTGTTGAGTGGAGCGTTGAAGCAGTCAAGACAGCATGTTGTAGAGTTTCAGCAGTAGGCGAGCAATTTTAAGAAGCTGGACATAGCTGGTCCGTGTGCTGGAAAGGTTATGGGATCAGATTCAGCTCAAGTTGAACCTGGTAGAGGTTGTGGACCATTTGATTCAGTTTAAAACAGATGCTGTGGATGGAGGTGTGCTGCTGCAAGTTTGTGATGTGAGCTGAGAGATAGTGGCTTCAGTTTTTCCACTGTTTAACTGGAGAGCAATCAAAGTTGAAACTTTTATTGGAATGAATCGGAGCCACTTTGGCAATGTAATCCAAATTCCTGAGGATGGCAGTGTTGATCAGATAGTGCATTAGGATAGGGAGCCTGAATGCCATGTGTATCATGTTCTGTAGGTTTCCCTGCTTTTGAGATGTTTGTTGACAGCATATTAAAATTGCTTGAGATTACAAATTAACTTGTGCTCTAATATTGTTGATTGGCAAAGGTTATTTACGTTTAAATAAAATTGATTCATCCAGTTGAGCTACCAAACAAAGAGCCTTGTGAACTGGCATTAAGGGCATGTAGATTAAATGCAGAGAGGAGTCAGAGACATCAATCGTCAGCAGTATACAGGGTTGGCTAATCATCTGTGGCGTGACTGTCAAGTGTGCAGAGTTTGCTGATTACATGTGCGATGTTGCATTGACAGCTTACTCTTCTTTTCCACCAGTCATATCCTTCATTGTCCAATTGTCAAGCTTCAAAGACTTCATTAAGGTAGTTCCCTATAATGTTGAAGTCACACATCCTATTCTATGCAAGTAACTTGTTATATGGGAAATTGCATTTATATACCTACAAACCTTCCTCTCTGTTTCATTACCCAGTTGTTCACAACATCAGTGGTTTTGAACTAAGCCAGACATAGCTCAGAGGCCCTGATTTCATCGTGGCCTGTGCTGATTAAATAATCCCTAAGGTACAATTTAAGACGTTACAGTTGGTTTCTGTCACTTTTGGGTATAGATATGGGTGGAGAAAGAAGAAAAAGAATCATTACCCACCCGTTGCTAGGAAATGCTGTTTGTGGGGCAGGGGCAGGAATGTCTGATAGGATCAGGCTCAGCCCCACCACCTTGTTCAGCTGAATATTCTACTGATGCTGCATGAAGATTGGCCATTTGGCTAAGGTACTGAGACCAGCCTGAAGATGCTGTCAAATTGTACCCCACACCGAATCAACGAAGAGGTGAACAATAAATGCCTAGGTTTTCATTACATCATATATCATTGAATTACCAATCTCTTAAAGGTTTTGATATGCTTTTCACATGTATCCAAGGGAAGTGGTGGTTTACTATTTCACTTGCTCCAACCTTGATCTCGGGCTTGAAAATAGTTGCTTTATGTTTAGGTTGCATTATTCCGTTGTGCCCCCATCCAGATAACTAAAGATTGCTAGAAAGGATTGTTGGTTTATTGCATTCCTAATGAAGGTGTTTGTTTTGACAACAGCTACTGGACTTTGAGTGGTTACAGCACACAGTAAAAGTTTACTAAAACCTTTCCTCACCTGTTCTCCTGCAGCACGATGCACAGATGGATTACTACGGCACCCGTCTTGCAACATGCTCCTCTGACCGATCTGTGAAGATATTTGACGTTAAAAATGGAGGCCAGATCCTTATTGCTGACCTGAGGGGGTATGTAGATAGATGTGGTTTGCAAGAAATCTTCGTCACTTAAAAGTGCTGATGCCGTCAGCTTTAGTGAATGCATTCAGTAATAAACCTTTCTGACAGACTAAAATACCATTCATTTCTCTTTATTCAGGATACATTTAACTCGTTTTAAACCTGGATCACAAAGATAACAGCTTGTATTTATAGAATTGCTTTAACACTGTGCTTCATAAGAGTCACATAAATCAAAATTCAACATCAAGCTGTATGAGGAAATGAGGGATGATAACCAAAAATTTGGTCAAAGATTAGGTTTTAAGTACCTTAAAGGAGGAAAGCTAGATGGAGTGATTACTAAGGTAGGTAGGGACACGGCCATAGAGAAATTGAGAGCTTTACTATCAAGGCATTGTTTAGCAGGGAATTAGTGTTAATCAGCAAGAAAAAAAGAGTGATTTTCTGTGTTTCTATGTGAATGGTGAACAGGACTTGTGAGGAAGGCAACTGATAGCACCACTTTGGATGATCTTGAGTTAATGACAAGTAAAATGTGGGAGTCAGCCAGGAGTGCATTGGAATAGAGGTAACTATTGAGGTTGAGGACTTCAGAAGTAGACAAGATGAATCAGGCAATGTTACAGTGGTGGAAATAGGCAGTCTTCTGTAGCTGACTCTTAATGGCCATTGAAGAATCCCAACAAACCACTCAGTTGTACAAATCATTGATTTCAGCTAAAGCCAATTATGCCTCCTTACAGTCAAAAGGTTGGGTAATCAATATTGCCTTGCCAGTGTTGTCCATATCACTAGATCCTTATCCTATCCCCAGGTGAATGAAATTTAAAATTTCACAATGCTTGTCCAGTTTCTGGCTTTAATCAACACAGGAATGATGAGCATTCCTTTTCTTTCATTCATGGGATAAGGGCGTCACTAGCAGCTCCAGCATTTACTGCCCTAATTGCAGTTGAGAATCAATCACATTGCTGTGGGTCTGGAGTCACATGTAGGCCAGACCAGGTAAGGATGGCAGTTTCCCTCCCTAAAGGATATTAGTGAACCAGACAAGTTTTACCAACGATGAACAATGGATTCATGGTCATCATTAGACTATTAATTCCAGATTTTTATTGAATTCAAATTCCACCATTTGCCATGGTGGGATTTGAACCTGTGTCCCCAGAACGTTACCTCGGACTCTGGATTAATAGTCCAATGATCATACCACTAGATTGTTGACTCTCCCCCTTCTTAGTTCACATCTGGTTCGCAGATCTTACAGATTCCGTGTAAGCCCTCTTTCCTCTTTCTGCCGTATGCCCTCCACTAAAGGGTATGGTCACTTTCTTTTGCAAAATACATCAATGACAGAATCACAAAAATAGAAACAATGGAGAAACTCAGCAGGTCTGACAGCATCTGTGGAGAGAACAGAGTTAATGTTTCGACTGCAGTGGCTGTTCTTCAGAACTCGGATATTAATCACAGCTTTGCCCCGCAATCAACAGTGAGACTTTGGACAATGTCAAACGGTCCTTCTGCAAAAGGAGTCAAGTTGAGCAGACAACCATTCAAGCGTCCAACGGTATCTGTCCTGGCTTATTTTTGCTTAAATATCAGATGGAACAATTGGCGTAAACAAGGTGTCATCTGATGCTGTTGTCACTTGATTTTGCATCATTTCAGTGTGAGCAGCTGGTGGATGGAGTCAGCAAAAAGGCAAGTGGAATGGGTGTCTTCCAACTCTGAATCCCCACAAAACAGCCCTTCAGGCCAAAACTGGTGACTGTAGTGCGCAATCTCTGCATCTTATGAGAATAAACTCTTGTATTTCCATCCACCGCTTGCCACCTTAATTACGAATGGGCCAAATACTTATTTCCAGCTAAGTGACTGCACACCCGGAGGTCACAAGATATGTTTCCCCCACGCTGCGTGGCAATGTGTGATACAGTGATTGGTGGCCGGTTTATGTTTGATTGAAGTCAGAACCCTTGTTGCCTGGCTGATTCTTGAAACAGGTCTGTCTCATGCCACATTGCATTAGTGGCTTATGGTACAATTGGATTCTGTTTGTTTAAAAACATATTTTGGTCTCTTCTCCCTTCCCCTCCCCACTCTGCCAGGGACCAGTGGTCCCGTTTTAGGTACGACAGTTTCTTGCTTTAAAACATAAAGCTAAAATTTGGACTGAATTCTTTTCACAGGCTAGTGGTGCGACAGGTTTGAAAGAGGAACCAACCCACACACTGATAGTTGCTTGCAGGTCGCTCTTGGGAGAATGTTCTGAAAAGGGGTGGCACAGTGGTCAGCACTGCTGCCTCACAGCGCCAGGGACCCAGGTTCACTTCCATCCTCGGGCTGCTATTTGTGTGGAGTTTGCACGTTTTGCCTGTGTCTGCGCGGGTTTCTGTCGGGTGCTCCGGTTTCCTCCCACAGTCCAAAGATGTGTAGGCTAGGTGGATTGGCCAGGCTAAATTGCCCGTAGTGTTCAGGGATGTGTAGATTAGGTGGGTTATAGGGGGATGGGTTTGGGTGGGTACTCTGAGGGTCGGTGTGGACTTGTTGGGCCGAAGGGCCTGTTTCCACACTGTATGGCTTCTATGATGATGCCGATCCCCATCGGCACTGCTGCTTCTAAACCTGTGCATGGGAAGCTATAACAAGCTAAAGCACCTATTCACCATAATGCAGATAGTTTGCCACGCATTATAAATGAGGAAAATGGATCAGTTACTAAATATTTCCTTATTTCAGCCATGAAGGTCCTGTATGGCAAGTGGCATGGGCTCACCCGATGTATGGCAACATCTTGGCTTCTTGTTCCTATGACCGGAAGATCATCATCTGGAAGGAGGAAAATGGAACTTGGGACAAGATGTATGAATACACAGGACATGATTCTTCTGGTAAGGATTCTACTATGTGCAAACCTTGGATTTCAGAACACTTCTAAAAGATTCTTAAAATTTTCTTTTCTTCTGACTTAGCAGTACATCAAATTTGTGTATATAGAACACAGAGCTCTTAAGATTCAGACATCCATGCAGGTAGATGGACTTTGATTTTGTTGGCTGTCTGAGCAATCAAACAAACTATCCAGTGAGATTTTGCCCGATTTTATGTGTGCAGTTGCTTAATTGTTGTTGATATAGAGTAAAAATAGTATTGGCAAATGCCATGGGCATATTTCCTACTCCTTTTTGTATGAGATTGCTGAGATAGTGTACATTTTTGCTAAATTGGCTTGTCACGGAGCAAGGAGTCAGATTTGTAATGTCCGGGCTGACATAGGTAGTTCCTTACAGCTCAAACATTAAGCTGTTGTTTTAACTGCACTGGGATTAGGTCTTCCTATACATTGAGGTAGTCTTTAAAATGGGGTTAAAGAGGAAATCAACAACTGAGTGTTCTGGTTATGTCATCAGAGCTCTCCTGTTGGTGCAGAACTGCAAGAGGTGTGGCACCAATTGTAGCATCTCTAGTTTAGAGGGGGAGAAAATTGGACAGTCTCTTATACCTTTCCCTATGAGAAGCCATCAATCCCAACTGGCATTTCAATACCTAACAATGTGGCAACTCCTTTTCTGTCTTCTAACTCTAATCAAAGTGTTTGAACTCTCTAAAGCATCATTGCCCTGCAAAAATGTAATGTTATCCTTCATGAACACTACCACCTTTCTGTCCCGTCCTCCTTATTACATTATAGCCTGGAATATTTAGGTCCAAGTCCAGCCAGATTTAAGCCAGGTCTCTGTATTTAGCCTCTATTTCATTAGGCTGTTGACAATTTCTGCTCATAATTGATTCACATAATCTGTGACACAACTTGCATTTCAATACGATGCTAGTTGGCTTTGTTCTTTCTTCCATCTAATTTTTGTTCCATTTACACTGTTGTTTGTCCCGTTACTCTTTGGCCCTTCGAGGTTTATATGCACTTCTGCTCCCTGGTTCTATGTCCTGATGCTCCTACCCCTGCCATGTTAGTTTAAAACCTCCCCACAGCACTCTAACTTTGCTGCAAACATACCTTTGTTCAGATGCTTCCTGATGGCTTGTACACGTCCTCCCTGCACCAGAACAGTCCCAATGCCCTAGGAATCTGATTAGTCCTTCCTGCACCAGTTTTATAGCCATTCTTTCACCTGCATTATCTTCCTGTTGCGTAGTCCCTTGCATGTGACACTGGGAATGATCCATAGATTACCCCATTTGAGTTCCTGCTGTTCAATCTTTTTCTTAGATCCAGAAATTCTGCTTCAGGACCTCAACCTTTTCATGTACCTATGTCATTGGTTCCCAGTACTTCTTGCCTTTTTAGATTGTCCTGTGCCTGTTCAATGACATATTTTAGCATCATATTTATAAAGCATAATTGTACACACAATGCAGTAAGTAATATGCTCTCTTCTCGTTTCACGTACATGTTAATTTGAAGCAGAGAGATTCAGTATTGTTCATTGACTGAAAGATCCATAACAGGTTTGCCTGCATGGAGATTGGAAAAATATCACATTTGTTTAGTTCTGGAAGCTCTTCCAAGTACAAGTCGAGTACAGGAGCATAAGCCAATGTGCAATAGATAATCAGGATAAAGGAAGCTTTATTCACCTAATAAAATTAACCTCGCCTAAGTGTTTGATACTGACACTCCCAAAAAGTGAAGACACAATTCCAAACAAAAAAAATTGTTCTTAAAAAAAAATCTGCATTCTTTTGCTGAAACATGAGATTTCACTGAGCCATTTAATCTGTGCTGGAAGGGAATTTGCCAAGACTTGTGTATCTCAAATAACTTCTTCCGTGTTAGTAGAAATCTGCCCCGAGGAGCCTGCTTATGACACAGCATGGTGTGCAAGTGGAAGGTTCTCATTTAATTGACCAGAAGCGTTAATTCTGTTTTGCTCTCTACAGTTGCTGTAAGACCTGCTGAGTATTTCTAGCACTTATTGGTTTTATTTCAAATTTCCAGCACCTGCAGTATTTTACTGTTCATTTGAAAGACAGTCATTGATTCTTAAATAAAATTATTTGGATAAAACATGACATAATGCAACATAAGACTTTTTAGAAACAGGAAAAGATCATTGTACTCTAGAATCATGTTTCTTTGGAGAATGAACCTACCAAAACATTCATAACCCTTTCTCTGTCCAAAAAGCCATCAAGTTGTTCCTAATCCATTTATATTGTACACGTCAGTGACTTATCGTGGTAATTTAAACAGCTAGCTTATCTTTTCCAATTGGTAATGTTCCTCCCTTATTCTGTCCTCCTTCCTAACTCTCTCACTTATAACTCTTTCCTAGAATTTGAGCCATTCAGCATAGTGAACAATTGACTCATCATTTTATTAGTTCTGATTGATATTTGCTTGCTTGATCAAAGCAGGTCCAAAGGCAGGCAAGATGTTTATTGTATTTACATTGATACATAGCATATTGACCCAAAGGAATGGTTATGTTATAAAGCATTGTGGTGACCATATATACACTGCATTATGTCTTCTTGTCATTTCTATACTTTCTGAAAATCATGAATGTCAGTGAAGACGATTGTGCCTAGAGTATCAAAGACAGATGTTGTGATTTTTGGAAGAAACAAAGCAAACTAAACCAGTTCTTTTTGGGGGGAAGAAATAATTACAAGAGGAACGTTATCCACAGTTTTAGCTGACAACGAACATTTTGCTTCAAATTTGAAAAGCTGTTGGCTCAGGATAACTAAGTAATTACTTCTTGGAACAAACACAAAGTACTGGAGAAACTCAGCAGGTCTGGCAGCATCTGTAGAGAGAGAAACTGAGTTAACATTTTGAATTTGGTATGACACTTCAGAACTATTCAGTTCAAAGGTCATCCCGGACTCCACATTTATTCTATTTTCTCTCTCCACTGATGCTGCTAGACCTGCTGAGTTTCTCCAGCATGCTCCTCTTGTTTCTGATTTCCAACATCTACAGTATTTTGCTTTTATAATTCCTTCTTGAGGTGAATCCATGAGCCATCTTGAGCGATAGCATTAAGGGTGACACCAAAATTGAGAACATGAAACTTGTGGCACAGGAAGAGATCATCTGCCCTATCATGCTTGTCCCTGCTTTTTGAACAGAAATTGTCATTAGTCCCACACTTTTTTTTTGTTCTAAAGATTTTACCAGGAGTAAAGAGGGGACTGGCAAAGAATGAGAGAGTTCAGATACGAGGGGTGGTTGGAAAAGTCATTACTGTTCATTTTTGGAGCACAGGTCAAGAGGTAACTGAATAGAAATTTTCAAGAAGAGGTTGATTCTGATTGAGCAGATAAGGGAAAAAAAAGTCCTGAGGTGAGTGAGTCAATGTCTAGAGCTCTTGCATTCAGAATCATTGTCAAAAGAACAAGTGGGCAGATGGGAATTGTTTTCACTGAGATTTGACAGGTTCTGAAGTGTTCCACCTGAAAAGACACTGGAAACTGATTCCATAAATCGTTTTGAAAGTGTTATGGCCCAATTAGGAAGAATGCACCAACAATCATGCCCTACTGTTCCACAAACCTTCAGAAAGTGGATAAAATTCTAATTGGACCACCAAGGTGAGCAATTTGCCTGACTGAATGCTATTTAGGCCAAAAGCAATTTGCACCAGATTTCATCATTAACAGAAAATAACACTTTATTTATCATAGCACATTTAACAAAAGGCAGAGAAAAGAAAGGAATTTTAATCTTCTACGATGCATTTAAACTATGCCTCTCCAAATTCCAAAATACCTACATATTCAGGTGGATGGACAAAGATACTATAGGTGGGAAAAAATATAGACAGAGTAAAAAAAATTCCAAAGATCAAAAATCTAGATCTCAAGGAGAGTTACATTGTCTCACAGAGTTCATCTTGAATTTTAGCACTGATGACATGCTGCTATTTATGAAGCAGTGGTCATTCTTCACTTAGGTACGTGGATCCAGCTCTTTTCTTATTACTTATTTTAAGCTGTCCTGGTTTATCTGTCCTTTACCCCACATAGGGGAAGAGGTGGGTGCTTTTCAGTTTGCAAGCTGTGGTTGCTTTCTGCTTTCCTTGCACCTGCAGCTTTGTCACAAACTAATGAGAGTGCTGTTGGTAGACAGAATTTCCTTAATTCAAAAGAGTCTTGGTGCCATTCAGTCTCAAATTCTCTCCCTCATGACTTCAAAAAGCAGCATTGCACTGCACAGCTAAAGATGTGCCACACTTGTTTTTCAAATTACAAAACTCCTGGCATTTTGGTCCAGCCTAATGTCAATTTATAATCCTAAAAAAAAAATCCAAATCCTAACACAAGGGATTTGGGCAGGTACTTGAGGATGAGTAACATGCAGAATTATGGAGGAGAAGCAAAACAAGTTTTAGCACTGGCATGATGGACTAAGTGATCTTCTGGATCCAAGTTTCTCCATGAAAGAGGTGAAGGCAAAGCAATCTCTGTCGCTGACAGTCAGACTCAGCGCTTGGTGCTTTCAAAGCTCAGCTGCAGATCTCGGTGGATCCAAGGATAATATTTAAGGAAGTAACTTAGGGGGATAGCTTGGGGTTGGTGGTGTATTTGAAGTCCAGAAATCAGCATGGATATGAAGGATCTGGGAGCTGAAGTGTTGATGCTTCAGGGCAATATCTTCCAGCACTGTCTGGCTTCAAATGTCTTAGCAATTGGCACTTTACAACATCAGTAAATTATTTGCAGTCAACCAGAGCTTCACTCTGAGTAATTGCAGTATTTGTTGCTTGACTGTTCGGCTGGATTAGGGAACACTCTTATTACTGACTATGATCTGAAAGTCTCTTGAAGCAGAGCCCAGAAAAGAGGGGAACAATTTGAAGTATGGCTCAGACATGGGCCGTAGAGGAATGAAATTAGATGATTAAAAGCCTGGTCTGAGGCATAGATTTAAGGAGCATATTAAAAGACTAAAGGGAGTGGAGGTTTGGGAAGGAAATTCCAGAGACAAGAGTCATGGTATTTGAAGCCAGTCCTGCCAACGGTGGAGCAAGTAAAATTAAATGTACCAGAAGCACAAATTGGGGGAGTGAAGATACCTCCATCATAGCTCTGGAGGAGGTTACAGAATTCGAGAGGGACATGGCCATCAGTGAATAGTGCAAAGTTTTGGAGGACCTTAAATTTGGGGGAAGAAGAAATGAGTTTGACCAGTGATGCATTGGGATAGTTGGCTTGAAAGGTAACAAGAATAGATGAGAGTGTCAATAGCAAAAGAGCTAAGGCAGGGCAAGGTCAGGTGCTGCAACAGTGGTAGAACTAGGCAATCTTAATGATAACAAGGAGTAGAGCTGGATGAACACAGCAGGCCAAGCAGCATCAGAGGAACAGGAAGGCTGACGTTTCAGGCCTAGACCCTTCTTCAGAAACATGGATAGGCTTACTTCTGGGTCACATATCAACATCACAGTTGCAAATAGACAGGTTTAACTTCAAGTTACCAGCTACAGACTCCATGGTTAAGGAATAATTTCTGGCAGGAATTGAAAAGGACTTTGATCTTGCCCTTAAGAGATTGATAGATTTTTTTAATGTTATGGATGAGTATTGAAAGTTTAGGAGCCAAAGTGAGTAAATGGAGGTTACACATTGATCAGTCATATTCCAATTGTATAGTTTAACAAGCAAGAAGAACTGCATATTCATTCCTATGTCACTCTGATTGATAGTACAACATGGCAGAAAATCGTGTGGGTTAGGACAGGAATCAAGTCTTGGAGCCAACTGGATAATATTAATAACTTGTGCACTCTTCTCTTAATCCCTGATGTTAGTAGCTACATAGACTAGTTTGCAGGCCCCTGTTGTTTGTCAACAACATGCACTACACCCATTTTAACTGAACAGAGTTGGCAACAGCCATTCTCTGGTTCATTCTTCAGGACAATGCCTCTCTCAATCAGAGTTAACCTGCCTGATTTAAGCAAAAGTTTGGAAGTCAACTATCTAATTGTTGAATTCAGCATCTAATTGATGAATTCTCCATGGCAACACCTGTACCAAACAGTCTCCTTGTCATCCAATGAGTGTGCTCTGCTCATACAGTCCAAAAAGTGTTGTTGCTCTTTAAACTAATATGCTTACGAATTGTCCTAATGAGCTCAAAATGAAAAACTTCAGCAAAATATGCCCTTTTTCAGCAAGATCCAAGTAGTTGTTTTCCTTTGTTGACCACCTGGATGCTTTATACTTTTGACCTCATACAAAAGCCAATGTTATAAAGTTAAAGGAGCATGATATACAACTGAAAGGTTATGGTTTTCTTGTTCCAGTCAACTCATTGTGCTGGGCTCCTCACGAGTTCGGGTTGATCCTTGTCTGTGGTAGTTCTGATGGTGCAATCTCGGTGCTTTCATACTCGGGCGACGGTCAGTGGGAAATGAAGAAAATCAGCAATGCGCACACGGTAAGAAGCAATTTTTTTTGGAGTGACTATTAACACTGACATCAGTCCATGATTTATAGATAGGACAGGCCTCAAACTATCTATTTTAAAGCAAACAATGCATTTTACAGTAAAAAACTAATTACTCTAAAGACCACAGCAAAGCATGTGACCAAGATCACAGCACTTTCTGAGAACAGTATGATTATTTTTGCTGCAAAATGTGATGACTGATAGTATATTTAATATGCATAATGTCAATGTCAGTGACAATAGCAGGGCTGACTCCAGGAATATTGATAGGGGGAATTATCCATTCAGCCTACACTTATGGGTGACTATGTGAAGCTTTTATTTTGTTTAGCTTTTCAATGTTGGGGCTTGAATTAAGTTTTTGGACAGGAAGAGGATGCGTAATTTCGGACAATGTCAGTTTCACACGGTTTCTTTCTCTCTTTACAGATTGGTTGCAATGCCGTCAGTTGGGCTCCAGCAGTTATACCCGGGAGTCTTGTGGACCAACCTTCAGGGCAGAAGCCAAATTATGTCAAGCGATTCGTGTCGGGAGGTTGTGACAATCTGGTCAAAATATGGAAGTAAGTTGTGTTCATTCTGCTCACTTTGGATGGTGGTTCCCTCTGGAGTTTAAAGTTTGTTTCTGTTGTCCCATGTCATTTTTGAATGACCATCTCTCTCAGAAATTTCAGTAAATAAATATGAGAGTCGGAAATTAAATCAAAAAGTGGTGAAGAAACTCAGTGGGTCTGGTAACGATGACCAATATGACTCTTCAGCGGAAGAGTCTGAACAAGAATCAAATCGGACTTGAAACGTTAACTCTGTTTCTTGCTCCGTAACTGCTGCCAGACCTGCTGATTTTCTCCAGCATTTTATTTCTGATTCCCAGCATCCACAGAATTCAGCTTTTATTTATGTAAGTCAGACTTTGGACCATGGTCGTCTTGTGGAGTATTTGTCCATGATGTTAAAAAACATTAGTTGGTATTTTGAGTTGCTTCCAGCTCTTCTCCTGCGTCCTTTACCCCATCATTGATAGTGGTATCTTCAACTGTTTAGGCCCTAAACTCTGGAATTCCATTCCTAACCTCTCCATTGTTAATTTATCCCTTTAACTAATTTTCTGGTTATGTCTGAATTGTTCCCTCCTTCGGCCCATTGTTAAATTTTGTACAGTTACGATAACGTGAGGCACCTTGGGATGTTTCACCATATCAAATGCACAATTTAAAAGCACTGTATGAAATTTATTTTATACCTTCCACAAATTCATTGAGAAAATTGCATTCAGCAATATTTTCACTTTTGATTTGCGCTTTCTCCTTTGAAATTTAAAACACAATGTTTTGTCTGCTGCAGAGAAGAGGACGGTCAGTGGAAAGAGGATCAAAAGCTTGAAGCTCATAGCGACTGGGTTCGAGATGTTGCCTGGGCTCCATCTATTGGACTTCCCACGAGCACCATTGCCAGCTGCTCCCAGGTAAGCACTGTGCATAAGGAATATATGAGCAGACTCTAGTGAATCTGTGCAGTCTGCACCTTCAGCAAAGGATGAGGCAGTCTGACAGGGGATTTATAGTGGTCATAGTGATTTGAGGCTTGCTGTGTTTTATTTGGGAAGGAATGTGGGGGACAGAACAAACTGAACACATAGTGCACATTATTGGAACTTTTTGCAGTTCTGTGCTGCTTTTTTTTTTACTGGTAGAACACATCACACACTCCTCAGATCACAAATCATGCAGAAAGCTTCACAATGGCAATGCATCCTTTTTTTGAGAAGGGAATTGCACTGAGAGTATCGATTTATCCATCTACTACTCCACTGAAACTTTTCACCACATAATGTTGGGGGCTAAGAAGTCATACCCCTAGGGTGTTTCTCAGCAGAAGTTAGATAGTTCAACACACTATTTCAATGGGGAAGAAGCCCTGCACAACAGAACAAGTAGTGTTTTGGCAGCAGAACAATCTGTGTATGCTATCTAGGCTGGTGTGATAGAAGGAGATTAGTGCTGTGTTATCCAAGTAGCTGATTATCCACACACAGTAATCTTTGTACAAAACGCCTTGTACACAACATGTAAATATACACCGTGTCTGCATATTTACTAAATAAACATCAATTTGTAAAGTAATCAATACTAAAAAAAACTCTCACTTTGCTTTTAATATTATTTGACTGTCAAATACACACATGGCCCTGGATGCATACACCAAATCAATGAGTGTGGAGACAACGAGAACGATGAGAATATCTACTACCAATTTAACATTTCTGAATCAGCAACATCTGTGTTCCCATTTTGCCACATATAGCTAATTCCTAACATTATTGGTAGTTTTAGGTTAGAAAGAGGAATGGATGAAACTGATTTTTTATTTTAATTTTTGAAAATTATTTCATGAAATGTGGATGTCTCTGGCTCGGCCAGCATTTACTGCCCATCCTTAATTACCATGGAGGGGTGGTGTTGGAACAGCTATGGTGGAGGTACACCCACAGCGCTGTTGGGAGCAGAGTTTGAGGATTTTGACCCAGCAACAGTGAAACAGCAGCCTAATAGTTGCAAATCAGGGATAGTGTGTGAGGCTTGAACTTGCAAGTGGTGGGGTTCCACAGCTCTCTGGCCCTCAGATTGCCCAGTGGCAGAGGTCTGGAAGTTACTGGCAAAGGAGCCTTCAATTTCAAAACTACAGTCCTCAATTAAGATTAAATTCTCGCCATGTCAGACTCTATATGCTAAAAAAGGCTGTGTTGGGAACTATAAGTGTAGTGAGTGAAATGTCAGTGTTGTTTTTTTCTGACATAGACCTGAGTTTTTCATTCTATAATGCTTCACCTTGCCAGCAGGGAAGTAAAACCCTGATCACCTTGCTGATTTAAATTTGCATGATCAAATCTTAGATTGTAAAACCATTCTTTGCTACCAGTGTGATTAACAAGGAAAAAGATATTTTCTTTTAAACTCACCGTGTTATAGTGGGTTGATGCACTGAGTACAGGGAGTGTGTGGGGAAGTGGGGTGAATTATGTGCTTATTCAGTCACCTTGTTTTGCTGGAATCTATATCTTTGCTCACTCTGGTTATGACTATTCCGTGAACACCTGGTTGTCCTCCCATGTGCCACCTATTGTAAACTTGAGACCATCCAAAACTTTAACAAGCTGCCTGTGTTCTGAATCGCAGCAAGTCCCTTCACCCACCATCCATGACTGATCCACTTTGGCTCCTGTTTAAATGATGATTTGATTTTAAAGCTTTTTTTTTCCAAATTCTTCAACACCTCACCCTTCCTTCCCAATATCTTTAATCTCCCATCATACAAATTGTCTGTGCTCCTCTGCTTCTGGCTTCCTACAGATCCTTGACTTTTAATCACTCTGCCATTGGCATATGTGCATTCAGCTGCCAATTCCCGAAAGCTTGGAATTCCCTTCCTCAACGTCTCTGCCTCTCTTCCCTTCAATAAGAAATGCCTTAAAACCTTCCTCTTCAATCAAGCTTTAGTTCGTCTAACCTAATATCTCCTTTCATAACTTGATGTCAGTTTTTGCATAATAATGCTTTGGGAGGTGTTCTGTTATATTGAAGGTGCTACAGAGATGTAAGTTGTTGTATGATTCAATGATTAACCTCCGGTTCCACAGGATGGCAGAGTTTTTATCTGGATTTGTGAGGACCCTGCTGGGAATACATGGACGCACAAACTCTTGCACAAATTCAATGATGTAGTGTGGCACGTCAGCTGGTCCATCACTGGGAACATCTTAGCCGTTTCTGGAGGTGACAACAAGGTATGGTTTCTTGCTTTGGACGGGTCTGTTACCCGAATGAATAATGTGTGCAAGTTCTGAATTTCTGAAGAGATACTATCCTGTTCGTATTATGAGGTGGTATTTAAAATGTACATAAAATAGCTGTCCCTGTACACTGAGAATCCCTTATTTTAATTACTCTCATATCTTTGCTTCAGTTTCTGTCTTTGGTGAATTTTTACTTCCTTTTTTTCTTGCACTAGATCCTTTTTTTCCTCGTGTATTTTTCTTTCACATTTGCTGCTGTATCCCCCAGGATTAATGAAATACATGTGTATACATATTTTTAAAAGCCCCCTGGATGGAACTGGCTATTGTAATCTAATCTTAAAACTGTGGTTCATGATCTAACCTAAATCGCCTTGATTGTAATTCCAACCCATAGGGTTTTCCCAGGGGTCTGTTATTTTATATGCCATATAAACCATTTAATGTCTCAATTGAAACTCGAGCCTGTAATTTACTCCTGAGGGTCTGTAACTCTGTCTACAATTTACAGAGCTGGGTTACTTTGAATCCTCCATGATCGTAAGACTACAGTGATCTTACTGTGCCAACGTTACACATAATCCTTTCGTGATGTTGGGGATATTTTCATCAGTAAAACAGTTCCAGTGTTTTATTTAATGCTTTGATTTCCTACCTATTTAACAAAAATCCTTTTATACACAGAGTAATAAAAACCTTCACTTATAGGTTAATACTAACTCCTTTCACCTCACAAATAACAACCATATGTATAAAGTGGGTGGTGTGATTATAATCACATTGAGATAGAGATGATGAGTATAAGTCCTGACTATCTACAGTACTTTATCTTCACATTGTACATACTTTCTTTTGAATTTAACTGTTTTGATTTTTGTTCTAATGTACTGGCCTTTCAAGTGATGGCTCCTTCTTGAATACACTTTCTTGGATGCCTGTATTCTTCCCCTATTATTATTTTTATTGGCCTTAGACAATGTTGGACCGTTTACCTAATAAGAACAGAGCAGCCAACTTCTTCATGCTGTCACCCCAATTCCACAACTTCAAGCAGTGGATCACTGTCATCGGGAATGCCAGTGTTTTTCTTGTCAAACTCAATCTGCCCAGATTGTTGGTGCCCTTCAGATCTCCATGGCTGTTTACTGTATTAGGAGTATGTTTACTGACGTGACTATTGGAAAAGCTCAGCTCTGTTGTGGGTTCAAGCTCAACTCCTGTCCAATTTGTTAAGTACCTAATCTAAGATGACACACCAGTGCTGCACCATCAGAGGTGCCACCTTCAGGTGAGATGTTAAACCAAAGCTGCCTTTGCAGACAGACATTTAAAAAAAAACCCACAACACTATCCAAAGGAGAACATGACCGTTCTCCCCAGTGTCTTGACCAACATCGAAACCCTCAACCCATGTCAATACAATAGATTATTGGGTCACTGTCACAATTACTGTTTGTAGAACCTTGCTGTGTACAAATTGCCTACTGTGTTTACTACAAAGTATGTTTTATTGCTGTAAAATGCCTTGGGCCACTCTGAGGTTGTGCACGATAATACAAGTGCAAGTTTTTTTTATTATTAGCACTGTGCTTATTTATAACATTAGTGTCAACTGTCTATAATTTGAGATTGTAATTTGAACATTCAGATGATATTCAGAGATCCGTGGTTGCAGTATGGTGGTTATAGTGCTGGATAAGCAGCCCAAAGCTTAAAAGTTAAAATTCCATGGCATGTTGAGAAATTGAATTTAATAAATCTTGCAATTAGTGGGCCGGCTATAGGAGTAAGATTGTCTTAAAAATCAACTGGGCTGACAAATCCTTCAGGAAAAGGAACCCTATCCACATTGACCTACATGTTACTTGTGACCACAGCATGGTCAGGTATTACAACCTCTGAAGTAGCCTACCAAGCCACTTAATTGTACAAACACCACCACTTCAGGGAGAAGTACCAGATGTATTTGTGGGATATGATCCTTTTCTTCCTCCATACATATACTGCTTCCATTGGCATTTGTGGATAATTTACTTTTCTAGTAATGCACAGTCTGAGACTAATCCACCATGGCATTTTAGAAATTGAATTTAATTGGAAAAAAATAGATAGAGGAAATACTATTTCTGCTAGTCAAAAAAGGCAGGAGGAATGGTCTAGAAACTAGAGCCAGATATTTCAGGAGTGAAATTTGGAAACATTTTTACAAACAGGGGCCAGAAGTATAGGACTGTCTTCTACAGATAACTGTTCGAATTGATCAATTATTACATTTTAAATCTGAGATTAATAGATATTTGTTATTCTAAGATATTAAGGAATATGGAGCAAATGTGAAATTTGATTGCAGATCAGCCATGGTCTCACTAAATGGAGAAGATAAATGGCCTGTTTTTACAGGCCTGCACTTCTTCCACTGTTCCCAAAACCTCAGTAAACTACTTGGAAATAAAAAGCTTATGTTGATGATAAAGATATTGAACTGTCATCTTAACCCAAAAGGTTAATTGATACAACTTAGAGA